AGGGGATCCAGTAGTCCTGCCCTATTGTTCTTCCACAGCAAAAAGGTATTTTGAGACACACTTTGGGCAGCCTGCAGAAGGTTTCACATTTTCTCTCTCACAACAATCCTATGCAGTAGGATATCTGCCTGAGATTACAGTTCTATATGCTTATCATGACAAACTCTTTATCAACCCTTACCTGGATTGCGCCCTGTTAACAAATTAAGTGTAGGTATTTTGTAAAGGTAATAGCTCTTAATTCCTAATTTAAGACCAAATACTTTGCATTACAATTACTACAGGGACAGCTTGCAACGATGTACTATTCTGGGAGAAACCAACAGCTCTCTTATCAACGACGACTACTGCAGCTAAGGCAGAGGGAATTGGTAAGCTTGATGGGCATGTGTGATGTCATAGTTCCTGTTACTGAGAAAGGCCTGGGGCTTAAGCCCTACAAGTTCTGGCTTCACTGCACCATTGGCAGAATTTACTTCAGGGTAATCATGATGGCATTCAGATTTGTTATCCAGGTAGGAAGGAGTGCATCAACCCAGAATTTTGGATAAGGTGCTTCCTGTGTTTAGATCATAGGCTACCCATGTTGGCATTACCAGCCTGCAGACCAGTTTATTCACATTACTGGTTTAAATTCCATATCTATATCAATTATACATACAGGTGCCTGTATTGCAAGCTTATCAGTGTCATCAATAAAATTGTGGAATGGCATTAAAAGCCCAATTCATAGAGAGCAATTGAGCTTCGGAAGGTATTATTAACAATTGTAACATATTCATGCAGCTGATATAAGTATTAAAATTCAGTCCATTCTAAAATGAAATCTTATTTGATGAAGATAATTTATGCTTTAAAAGGTTATTTTTTTGTACTGCAGAGAGTGAAAATTTCTTACTATAGACCCCTCCCACTAAAGTTTTCATCCTTTCATATTTAATATATTAAATATGATGGGAGTACGAATGCAGGCGCATTATGTAGTCATGTTTTCTATTTTGAATTGTATCTTAAAATACTGAGTTAAAGAACTGAAAACTAGCTAGGCTTAATGCAATTCTGATTCTGTACTGCTGCCTTTTGTCGTTCCAGGACTGAAAGTGATATGCCCCAGTATGTTCCATTATTGACTCCCCCAACCCACACAGTTATAATTATATATTCCAGCTGCTTTTGAAAGGAAATATAGCATATCTGAAACCATTCAAATACAGTTACTCAGATATCTGATGTCCTCTGACTTAATATACCAGAAAAGAGCTTTGAAACACTGTTTCTGTATTACAATTCCCAGAATCCCCAGACAGTGTTGGTGGAGGGAGTGGGGGAGTTCTAAACTTTAAAAAAAGGTAGATTTTAAGAGCTGAGGAAGGCTCTCTTTGGAAACCTAGAGTGAAAGAGGCAAGATCCATTAGTCCTTGAAAAGGATGTGCTGAATTTCCTTCTAAAGAAAATGCTTGTTTGTTGTCTTTCAGTCGGCTGTTCTTTTGTCTCCTCAAACAGATGGAGGCAGATTGAATATTATAAATAAAAATGTTCCATCTCAAAGCTGGAGATGCAAAAGGGGAAAAGGAAGTTATTTACATATGAGGTGGACTTGTGAAATAAGAAAGAAAGAATGGGCACTGATTTTTAGAGAAATTAGAGAAATTATTGGAAATAATATTCGAATATCACCAATTATTGCCCTTTTAAATATAATCAAGAATGACCATCTTAAAAAAGAACAGAAAGAGTTAATCATTATAATAGTCACAGCAGCAAGATTAATATTTGCCAAAATTTGGAAAAATGACAAACAAGGCAATCTTGAAGATTGGTATAGAGAAATGTGGAGTTTAGCAATAAATGATAAGCTAACATGTGAAATAAAAGTAATATGGGGGATGACAAAATATAATAATTTTAAAGACATATGGAATCCATATTTGAATTATATTTTTGTAAAAGGGAGAGATCCTAAGCCAGCAGAAGAATCAATGTATTTTTGGAGTGGAGTGGGGTGTCTTTTCATTTAGCCTTACATTGTTCGGAACTCTAGATACAGATTAGGAACAAATACGTCTATTAGCCTGTATATCTAATTTGGTGTCTCATGAGCTTGAATTACCACCTTAGTTATTTTCCTTGGACTAAGATAGGAATGGCCAATTGACATGACACATTGGCCTGTGAAGCACCAGTTTCCCTTCCTCCTGGTTGGAATTGTCTGCTCATGAGTACAGTCATGTCACTGTCTGGGAAGTGAGTACTTGGGAAGGGCTCCTGACCAGACCACTCTATTATCCTAGCTGGTAAACCTCTTATCAAAACATGAGAAGATACATCAAGGCCACTGCTAAAACCAGCCCTTCTTATCCTATGTGATGTCCATAGTGCTCATACCACTAGCAGAGGGGGGCAGTTGCTTCCTGTGGTAGATTCAGAGGGTAGCAGCTTTCTACTATTTCCCTCTGTTGTAGAACAAAGCTTATATATCAAACCATTGCTCCCAGCACGCAAACTGTGGTGTGGCTAATCACAAGTTTTCAAGCATGATTTAGCTGCTAGCTCAGCTAGGTTTACTACTTCGAATGGGAAAGGGGTGCCATCTTGTCTTCAGGCAGCAACATATCTTGGGATGGCTGTCCAGGAGTCATGTGCTACTTAATTATAATAACTGTGTGCCTTCAAGTTAATTCTGACTTATGGCAACCCTTTTCAGTGTTTTACAGGTACAGAGAACTCAGAAGCGGTTTACCATCCCTTTCTTCTGGAGTTGCCCTGGAACTGTGCAGTTTGCACAGGGCAGCACAGGCTAGCTCTTCTCACCATGAGGAATCAAACTCATAACCTCTGGCTCCAAAAGCAGCTGCCTACCTCACTGAGCTATCCAGCCAGGTAGCAACTGGAAAGGTATCCTTTTTGAGTTCACAGGCAGGAATGTGCCACTTTTTAATTGACAGTGGCCACTGCACACTGCAGATGGATATCCTTGGTCTTATACAACATACTGTTCTCCAATTATGTTGGACTGTATGATAGCTAGGAATGATGTGAATTATATCCCAACCTATCTGGAGAGCATCAGGTTGGAGACGTTGGAACTAGAACAATTTAAATATGATTTCATCAAGAATGGGGACTTTAATGTGACTGAGTTCTCATATGTAAAGATAGAGGCAAAATGAACTATTTCAGGAATAAAATTGTGATGGAGGGCTTCTGAATATGAAATATTATACTAAGCACCACAGGACACCCTTATATATTGTGCAACCACATGCACATCCATTCAGAATTAATTCACACCAGCTTCAGTAAGAACTACCTCCAGATAAGTGCGCACAAGATTGTAGCCCTACATTTGAGAGGAATTATCTTATATGGGAGAAAGCAAAAGGATGCATTCAGAGACATCATCACTGGGTACCATGGGACTAAACTTGTCCCTATTATTTGCTTTTCGTCTATTTATTTAAAATATTTTTACCCTGCCTTTCTCCTTTAAAAGATTCAAGGCAGCTTACATAATTACAAGACAATATTTAAAGGTAATAACTGAGTACACAAATACTGTACTTAAAAGGATCGAACAGATAACACACTACAATGGTAAACAAAAGCAACATCAAAAACACATTCAAAGCAGTAAGGCACAATCCATTTAAAACCCCCACTCAGGCAGCCAGTCACTGAGAAGAAGCCTGCCTGAAGAGAAAGGTCTTTCTTTGCCTGCTTATGGAAGGAGAGCAAAGACAGGGACAGTCTTGCCCCCTGCAGGAGGAGGGAGTTCTGAAGTCTGGGAGCAGCAACAGAGAAGGNNNNAAAATGTTTGGGACAAAAACAACCACAACAAAAAACACCCAAAATGTGCATGGTGTTGTTTACAATACTTGGAATGCTTATGTATCCTGTAGGCCTTGTTCTTTGTGAATTCTATACAAAATGTGACTCTTAAGGTGTAAATGTTCTATCCTAATGCAAGAAGATTCATTCATTTTTGAAGCAACTTAACTCCTTTATATGTTTTCTTCACTTCAGCAAAACATAATGTTAATGGCCACAATTCCTCAGGAAAATGTGCAAAGGAAGAACACTTCACTTGTTTTCTTAAGTACAAACAAATATCACCATAGGCCTATCAGGCATATTTATTGTGTAGCACAAAGCTCTTCTGAAAGTACTACTGTAGATAGAAACATCTACATTCAGTGTAAAAATAATTTCATTACACTTACATTGTGCTATGTAGAAATATAATTTCCCCTCAATGAAATATTTTCTCAATAAATCAAAATATGCACTGAGGATAACTAACTTTACTAACCTTAAGACTTACAAGAAAGTAATTTGTCCTCTGTTTTCATGTGGGGGACAAAACATCTTTCACTTATTTTGGTCATCTTTATTCAAGTGTACCTAATGTCTGAGTGTATCTGAGATATAGGAAGACAGGCTGGATCCAGTGTAATCCTTCATTCTTGGAAGGGGCTGCAACCTGTGAAGTCTTCCTCTTGTGAAAGAGGTGGGTGAGAGGAGGTCATTTTGCTATTTCACCCTTTCCTGTCTTCCATGTCTCCCTAAAACTCCTGATGAGACTGTAGGAGGCACCACCTCATCCACATTTTGTGGATGGTAACTTTTGTGAGTAGAATGTTACTTGCTGATCTCTAGTTATGTTTTCCATAGCTTAGCCTAGTTCTTGGAATAAACTGAAATAAAATTTTAGAATTTTAAATTTAGGAAGCAACTTTTAGACACTGAATTGTCATTACTAGATGCAAATAAATCCAACATAGAAACTCTCTATGACCACATATGGAAACTCTTTGTGTAGATTGGTTACCCTGTAACACCTCTTAATCCTTCTGTTGTACACACTCTTCCTCTGTATCCGTGCATGCTTATAAGTACAGTAAAAATTCTCATATGCTATATTTATTTGGACTTCAGAACCAGAGTATGGAGCTAACTATTCTGATGAGTGAACAGAATACAAGGCCATGGTTTTGTGGATGCACTGTTTTTATTATATTAAATACTGTCCTTAAAAATGTGGTATAACCAAGAAAATAATGAGCTATAATCAAGCTGTGACTGTACAGTTTCCTTGTTTATAGGGACTCTGCTTTCACAATCAATGTATCAAGATACAGAGACTTATGCTGGAGAAATTTTGGGATGCTTCATGATACCGAACAATCTAAAGCCATTTCTCCTCCTGTCTTCGATTTGCCTCACACAAACCTTTCCACCGAGGTTGATAAAGGAAGCAATATAGCTCTGGGTATTTTGACCTTCCATTATTCCTGTGTTGTGGAAATTCCTGATGCAACAGAAGCAGCTGTTTTGCAACTCCTGTACATCTCTGAAGTGGTACACAGAGATCGCAGTGAGTTTCTGAATCAGGGCCAATCTTTAGTTCTTTCAACGAACATTCTATCAGATAGTTCTCCAGGCCACCTCTGCCATCCTGAGTGCTCCTAAGCCTATGAGCGTTGCTTAAAAGGTCTCCCATCAACTTAATCTTCTTGCTCTTGGATCTGAGGAATTGCTTCTTAATCGTGCTTGCAGTGCAAGGATCTGAGTACTTGATACTCAGGGTATAAAGCTCTTCAAAATAGCTTGTCACTGTCTTCAGCTGTACTAAGGCTACTTCCAGAGCTGGTGCCACACCATTTAATAACATATTTGGTGGTTTCTGGAATCATAAAGAAAAGAACAAAAACTGCACATAATTAACAGAACTGTTGCTTTCTCCTTATTTTCAGCTATTTGTCTTCTAGGCTACTACTTACAATGCTAGTGTGGTTCATTTAGATTTGAAAATTCAAAATCTTGCTTAGCTGTGGCATTCATAAGTGCAGCATGAGTGGGAAACCTTTGGTGCTCTAAATATTTTGGCCTAATAATCTCAACAGTTTCTTGCTGCATAAGGAATGGCAATGGAGTGCTAGATTTCTTGTGCCTACCTCTGCATTAGTACAAATGGAAAATTCTTATATTTCAGTCTAACTTCTTCCACAAAATTTTAAATAGTAATGAAACTTAAAGCCAGATTTAGGCTGAATATAACTCTTAACTGTTAGAGGAGTATAACAATGAAACCAATTTCCTCGAGAGGTGGTGAGTGCTCCAATGCTGGAGACATTCAAGAGAAAATTGGACAACCATCTATCTTATCTGCTTTGATTTGGATTTCTGCACTGAGCAGGGGGCTGGACCTGATGGCATTATAGGCCCCTTCCAACTCAATGATTCTATGATTCTCTGACTTATGGGATACAAATATGATAAACAAATATATTTAGAGAAGAATACAGTTCCAACTTAAAAGAGTGCTTATGTCAGAGAAAGAAAGCTGGTGATCCTAGATGATGTTGGGTTCCAGACAGTGTTGGTCCTGGTCACCACAGTCACTAGACAGAGGTGATGGGACCTGCAGCCCAGGAACACCTGATCCTCATCCATGTTTTAGGTTGTATCTTTGCCAGGTTTCTGGGAAAGTGATGTGGATAAGGATTTGCTTCTGAGTGGACAATTCATAATCTGGTGCTACATGTCTTAGTAAGTAAAAATGACAACACAGTAGAACTGACAAAACATAAAGCATATACATGCAGAATGCACAAAAAGGTGTTTAAAAATGCAAATATTGAAGGTGAAATAGAAGACTAAGAGATGTTCTTGCCACATACCGTGATAATTCTGCTGCAGTAAATGCTTCCCCTGACACGCTGGTATTGTACCAGAGCGTCTGCTACTTCTCTCTCTTCTTTGGCCTGATCCAGGAAGAATTTTGAGACATTTGGTAAAGCCATATTGGAATCACTGAAGATTTCTCCCTATTACAATAAAATAAAACACCCATATACAGGGTAGTGTTATACAAGTATAATATTGTATATATGTACAATAAGACTAGAAATATACACATGTACTAGAAATATAGTTAGTACTAAACAGAGTAAAACAGAACATTTCAAGAACATTTCTAGATTTTAGAAGTAAAAATTACTGTCCCAATGTTTCTAGCTCCTCAGTAATTTAGGAGAAATTTCCTTTTCTGACATACCAACATAAGTTTTTGTGCAAAAAAAAAAAATGAACATAAAAGAAACTTGCCTATGAAACCTCTTAGGCAAGAGACTACAGTTTTTTTCAAAATCTTTTTCAGCAACCTAAATTGATTGGGGTCTGATTTGCCAATTTATATTTGGAGCATTAGTACATAATAAAACAATGATAAAACCAGCTGACTACAGCTCCCATGACTCCTGGACAGCAAGAATCTAACAATTTATATTTGGAGCATTAGTACGTAATAAAACAATGATAAAACCAGCTGATTACAGTTCCCATGACTCCTGGACAGCAAGAATAATACTCAGTCATTATGGGAATTATAGTCACAAGCATTTGGAGGGTCCCAGGCTTCCTATTCCTTTGCTATGGGAACAGAATAGATGCAACAAGTGACGGCCTCTTACTTGTGTGGAATGATAGCACTCCTTAAGGTCTGAACAACATTTAATTATGAAGCAAAACATTAACAACACACATGAAACAAATCTAGACTCATTCTGGTTTCCAACAAATGCTCAAGTACATCCCATACCTGCAGAGAGTATGTATGATGTTAACTGCTATTAAAAACCCTTTCTTTCTTCACTGATTTTTTTAAACAGCAAAATTTAGTTTTCTTATTCTGAGCATATTGTCGTCTGGAACTGCACTCATATTTTTAATCAGGGCAGCATAGTCCATCTTTAACTTGGTGCATTTAAAGGGATTATATTATTCTGTTTTTACTTGAGCTTTTAATATTACTCTTACTTAGGAGTTTTAAAATATGATACTGTACCTGTTTAATGCTTTTTAATACTTTAATAATTACATAGCTTTTAACTTTGTTTCTTTTAATATTTTAAGCTGCCTTGGAACCTTTAGGAGAAAGGTGGCATATAAATATTTTAAATAAACAAACACACAAATATCTGTTTACACAGGATAGATACACACAGCCATCTATCATCAAATGGCCACAAGGCCAATATTTCTTTTTCTACCACATTCCAACACTGAGTATGTTAATGACTTTAAAGGTTACTTCAGCATGAAATCAACCTCTTGCAGAGTCCTGTTCAACTACCTAACCTCTTACAAGGTTTAACAGGAAGAAGTATTGGTCGAGGCCAAGACATGTCAATAAGACAACACCCAGGGTAGGACTCCAGAGTGTCCAAAGTTGCATGACTAATAATGGAAGACAGATGAAACAGGATGGAATATTTAGAGTTCTCAGAAGGGAATGGTGAGCACTTCTTTGCATTCTGTACCTAAAAAACCCAGGAAAGGGTCGCCGTAAGTCAGAATTGACTTGGCGGCATACACACAGACATATGGGATGTGAGCATGTGTACACAAGCAGAAGGATGGGGTGGGGATTACAAAACCTCCTGTGTACCAAAGTACACTCGTGGACATGGTTCCAATATGGTGGTGGTGGTGGGAGCCAGTCACCAATTTGTATCAGGCAGAAGAGAAGCTTAAAGTTTAACCACAGCTCCCCGATCATAACCCTTTTTTAAAGCCTTGGGAATAATGCTTTTTAAGGCGTCTGACATCTGACTAGAAAAAGTCATTCCCTTGCCACAGCACACAACACAACTTGAAAGAGTTCCCATATCGAAAGGTTAAACTCCTGTCAGGTCTGAGCACCAGACCCTTTCCGCCTATTCCTTGCTGGCACAGCGGGAGCTTCAAGCGACGGCTCGTTCACACGCCGAGGCCGCCTTCGATGTTTCACACCCGCACCCCACGCCACACCGCTCTGCTTCTCAACGGATGAGTCTCCGCGGAAGGCTTCAGCGGACGAGTTGCGCGGAGGGCGGGAAAGCATCGAGCCATGCCGACTGGCGCTGCGCGCTCCGGTTTAAAAGGGAAACCGGGAAAGAAGCAAGCCTGAAAGCAGGAGGGTGGGTGGGGGAGAAGAGGTCGACGATCCTGAAGGAGGCAGGGGGGCACTAAGGGGTCCTTCGGAAAGCCGGGCACGAAGAGGTTCCCCAAAGAAAGTTCCGCGACGGCAAAGCGAGGCGACCCTTGCAAAGACGCCCCGCGAGGGCACAAGCCTGCTTGTGGGCAGCGGCCTCACCAGCATCTGGAAGACGGAGGCGACCTCGAGCACGGCGCTGGTGACCCCGCACAGGCCTTCCTCCACCACGGGCGGGAAGTTCTGCTTCACCGGGTTGCCGGGCTGGCGGCCCTGCTGGCGGTGGACGGCGCAGAAGGGCAGGCCGCTCTTGAGCCTTTTCGGGTTTGGTTCGGCCATGGCGAGTTGCTACGGGTCGCCGTCGGTCGCTGCTGGCTTCTTCTTTCCTTCCTCCTTTCAGGCGCCGCTGCGTGCCTGAGGTGCTCGTCGGAGACATTGGAGGAAATCCCAAAATTATTTCATTTCCACCTGTTTTTAAGACGCTCAGGAAGGCGCGGTTCGAGAAGAGGGGAAAGCGAGGTTACGGACTCCGCCTCTGCCCGCGGCGACATCGGCATATCTATACAGAGGCGGGGCGGGCAGTGGGCACCTGGAGGAGCTCACCTGGCTGGCCGGCTCTCTCCCCCTTCCAAAAAAAAAAAAGCCTTCACATGCCCGAGGAAAGCCGAGTCCTCGCCCTTAACAAAACTCCTCTCGGGGCTTGAAAAGGCACGTTGCCATCAGCATTTCCTGAGACCTGTCAGCGTTCACCTCATCCCTCCCACTCAGCCCTATTTCCTAATTTAAACTACAGTATATCGTCCACAGAGTCCCGCGTTTGTTAAGGCTTGGGCACTGTTCACACTTAACCAGCCAATATACCTTTCTGTATTCAATAGGCCTTCCTCCCGACATAGATGAGGCCTGCTGGGATATTTGCACTTTGAACTGCCCCCTTTAGGAATGTCCTGCCTGGCAGAGAATAGGAAAAGGGGCCATTCTTCTTTGAAAGTTCACCCTTGGGAATACAAAGTCAAAAGTCCTAGCTGTAGAAAGCAGTCAGAAACACGACAAACATGCCGGAAATGCTCCATATTCAAACACCTGTGAAAATAGGTCCCAATTCTCTGATGCCAGTATTGCGCTTTGTCTTCTTTGTAGGCTACCTTTATGAAGAGATCACGAATTGAATAGGTGCCCTGATGAGTACAGGACAAACCAGTGGAATTGAAGAGGTGCCCTGATGAGTACAGGACAAACCAGGGACTGTCCTGCTAAAGCTTCTCTTTAGCTATTTAAATCCCTTACACTAGAGTGCAGTGGGGGCCATAGCCAATGGAGAGGAACATCTGGAGAAAGGCAAATTTGCCCACTCCTGTTTTGAGCTTCAGTTGCTGGGCAAAATTCTTGATGTATACAAACTGAATGGATAACACTGTTTTGTGGTTGTACTGTAATTGGAAAGATCCACATTTGCGGTTTTCATTCCTTATATTTTCTCCACCTATCCTGGGGAACCATTCATTACATATGTTATCTCAAATCAATATAAAATGTTCTGGCTTTCTAAGAAACAAGCACTCAAGCTGTCAGATCCATGGACAGGCCACACAGTTATAATCTGGTGCAATTTATTTAACATTTCCCTTTTTAGTTTCTTACTAGTATATGTTGCAATCTATGGCATTTATTCCATACAGACAAAATCTCATTTGAGTCAATAACTGGCCAGCAAATTAAAGTTCCATAAATGAGCCAAGAGTGGCTGGAAGAATCCATACCTAAGGCTGTTCTCTTGAATATTCACTTAAAGACTATTTGGAAGAAGTACACAGACTGCTAATTAGTAAACAAGGCCAAGACAAAAATAATTGTTTCTGAACATTCAGTTCAGTTCTCCAGGGATGCACAGTGGGGGATTGCGTTTCCTGAGCTTTAATTTCACAGCAAGATACCTAACTCATTGAGCTATTTGGTTCTGTGTAAATGTGTGTCTGTTGTAATTCACAATTTAGTAAGTAAACTTCCCTGCCTCTTCTGCCATTAACTGTTGCTGATAGCCTCCATTTCATTTGGGTTTTACTGTCTATCTAGTTTCATACTAGATATAAATCAAATAAATAAATAA